GACTGATCATCATAAAAAACCAAAACTGTTTACACAGCCCATAATTCGCTTCACAAACACATCATCCAAATCATCCAATCAGCTGCTTCAACACATTCAAACAAACAGATGGAGAGGGGACAGAACCGCAGCTCCTCCATAGTCCACACCTCCGTCCTCCACTGCCGACTGACTGACGTGGTGTTCCTCCATCAGACGGTACTTTTGCCACAGAACCGCTCGTCTACTGTAAGTCAGGAGCTGGCAGCAGCCTCGGTGCGCCCTGAGGGGGAGCTCTCTCAGTTCTGTTCTTGCTGAACGAAGAGCGTGGCACTGTCACCTGGAGGCACGCCGGGTGTTCATCCAGATGACTTTAAAGGGCTGTGAACAACACACCCTGCTGGCAGAGAGGAACATCTCCGAAGTCTGATTCTCTTTGATAATTACTTCAAAGAACCTGGCCTCACTCCATGATTGGTTGTCGGAACTATATTTAAGAAAACACTTCCTGCAGCAAGTTGCCAGTGTTTGAAACAATAGACCCTTAATAAGAACGGACACAACCCTGTATCCGAAAAGTGAAGCCTCCAAAAATGAACCAGTGTTGACGGAAGAAACAATGACAATATCGTGATTCCAACTGTCGGAGAGTGATGTTGTTGTTTCCGCTGTCACTTTCGTCAATCCTAGTTCCAGTAGATTATCTGGATAACGGACAGTAGGTGGCAGTACACACAGCTGGACATTCCCATAGGTGTCTATGGCAGCATCCTCCAGGGGAAAAGTTATCTTTGTCTCTTTAAAACTTCATAAATTAAACTTCTTTTTGTGTCTCAGACTGAGCTATGAAATTGAAAAAAAAACCTGTTACATTTACTCTGTTACATTTACTCGAGTAAGTTTTTCAAAGTAAAGTAACTTCTAGGAGTAGTTTTAAATGACTATACTTTTTACTTTTACTTGAGTACATTTATGAAGAAGTAACAGTACTTTTACTTGAGTACAACTTCTGGAGACTCTACCCACCTCTGGAACAACTCACTGTTGTTCAGTGAAGTTAGAAAAAACAGACGAAAAAAATAAACCTCCGCCTCAGGCGTTCAACACAAACTCCTCCAACAAACAGGCAGCCTGGGAGGAAATATGCAATCGGTGTGTGTGTGTGTGTGTGTGTGTGTGTGTGTGTGTGCATATTTACCTAGACACACAATGCAGGGAGGAGGAGGGGGAAGGAAAACACAGGGACAGGACCTTCCAAACTCAGTCCAGGAAAAATGTCAAACATGTTCTGGTCCAAGTTGACTGAAAAGTTTCAGTCAAACCTTTAACATCAACTCATGATCTGAAACAGATTTAACTCTGGGACAGATCAGCCCCGTGTCTCCACCGATACCCGTGGTGCAGTACAGAGCGTGTACCGGGACCGACTATGAAGTACTGCTCCGTAGTGTGAGGTATGATGTGACTGTGCTGGAGGTGAGGCTGGAGGTGAGGCTGGAGGTGAGGCTGGAGGTGAGGCTGGACGTCGACGCCGACGCCGACGCTCCGTGAGAGGAGCCTCATCTGACGGCCTGTCTGCTGCTGTGACAGTGTCAGACGGTATTTATGAGACCAGTAATGGGGCCGAGGCTCAGGCACACCTGCTACCTGGGGGGGTGAGGGGGGGTAAGATACCCACACACGGACACACACTCCTGCCGTCACATCCTTATTCTATGTCTGAGGAAACAGATTTCCTCTGATTTTCCCAGAAAGAAAACGTTCAAAACGGAAAACTGCGACGGCGCCAAAACGTCTGCTTCGGTTCATAAATGATGAGAACG